GTGATGTCTTCAGGTTTAAGTTCAATTTTATCCCACACACTTTTAGTGCTATTCTTCTAAGAAACATCCCTAGCGACAATTTCAATTACTAGTAAATCACACTTATTATCTATTTCTTGTTACAAAGATGAAACGAAAGTAACCAATGTATGTTTTTTTTTTATACATTTTCGTGTTAATTAATTATGATACCATGAAACGATGTTGTTTTTTTCTTAATTGATTAAAGAATTAATATAATGAAATTTGAAAATACTTCTATTTGGTATACAGCCTCTTTTTAAATATAAAATAAACAGCTTTTGAGTACACACATACAAGATTTAATAAGTTTTTACTTCATACACTATAGATAAACACAGTACAAGTACAAAGCGTCATTAAAACTTGGCATTTTTATAAGGACCAAATTAACTTGACCAGCAATAGGGAGTGCAGCTTTCCAAAAAAAAAATTAATTCTGTCATTCAAAGTAAAATATTCGGTAAGAATTTCGAAGATTTCAAAAGATATCTGCAATAAAAGGGTTATGCGAAAAGACGACTATGCTAGGTACATCGTTAACACAATGTATTGATAAAAATTGTCAAAACATGGCAAAACATGACTATCAAACATTTAAAGTAAAAGCATATTCCATTAGCATTTTAATTTTGAAAGTGTTATGTCGGTCATTTAACCCTACCCATTTTTTAAACTTTCTTTCTGGGATATATTCTCTTGTAATGATTTCTATGCAAAACTAATACAGTTTATAATCAACTAAAACAACTGTAGCATTTGTGTCAAAAAGATATACCAAAAGGCTAAAAATGTCAAAACTGTGGGTTTTTTTTACCTTCTTAATATTTGGTGAATTGTGATAATCTTAAAGTTGCTATGACATGATGTTTCTTTTCTTCTTAAATGTAATACATATTTATAAATTTCAACACAGAATTTAAATAATATATGGTTAGTGCACTAAAATCATAAAATAAGGGCAAGTTTTAGGAGCTTCCTAATTTTGAACGTTTTTTGGGGAGATAATTTTACCCCACCCACTTTTTAAACTCTACTATTCTGTAATAAATGCTCTGGTAAAAAAAATCATGCTTTTGTTATCAAGAAAGGTTCAAATGATAAAGAACACACAGTTAAAATACAATTTTCTTTACATTAAACTGAAATTATAGAGTAAAGACATATTTTGGGAATATTGTAATTTATCTTTTAAAAATTGGTAATTTTACCCCACCCACTTTTGAAACTCTACTATTACAGCATAAATGCACAGATAATAATTTTTTATGCTTAACTTGTCTAGCTATGTTAAATTGATAAAGTACACACAATTTAAATGCATTTTCATTTATATTGTGTTACATGTAATACAGAAAAACGGAAGTCATCAAATTGTCAAAAAGTGTTATTTTTCACCACATTTTTGGTAAATTGATAGTGATAATTTTAAAATTTGCCATATAATTGTCATTTTTCCTTGATTGCATCATAAATTTACCATATTTTATCTGATATTGTGAAATTAAAACTATTTTGTTCAAAATCTTAAAGTAAAAATTCAAGAAACAAAAAGTATACGGTATTTTGTAATTTATGGCGGCCATATTGGCGGCCATTTTGAATTTTTGTACTTTTGCCCGGGCTGCGTAACTTAAGAAATGGGTTTTTAGAAACTACAAACAAAATGCTTTACAATGGCAATGTTTGTTTTGGTGATACAGTAAGTTGCAATAAAACCCCGCCATCTCTTGGACTAAATGTTTTAACTATTATCTATTTGAATACATGTATATATCTGCGAGTAATATGTCATGTCTTCAAATCTTCAAAATCATTTTTAATTTTTTGAATTTATTTAAGAGACATTTAAGGTTTTAATAAGACAATGATTTAATTATTATCAATAGATCTTTAAGGTTTTAATTAGACATTAATTTATGACCGTATTCATGAGTCATTGTTTTCCTTACAATCTTATAAATATGTCAGCTATTTTTTTCTGCGTGTTTTTTCTTTTTCAATTTAGAAAAAAGTAAACAAGAGATTGTATATACATACTTTTTCCTTGTAAGAATAATGGTAGAAAGTATTCCCATTTACCATCGTATTCATACAAAGGTATGCCCCTGTTATGATTATATAGGGATACAGCCACATCTTTTGGATTACGAAGCACATATATCAATTTACAACCGAGTTCTTTGGCCTCTTTTGGTAAGCGACTGTAATGTACATGAGTGTTTAACACCTGAAAGATTTAAATAAAAATTATGCGTTATATACGTTATTTGTTTTAGAGAAATTGGCGACCATTCTGCTATGTGTGAAGGATATGCTTTTATGTTTCAAGGCAAAAACGGACTGCCAGTATGTTTTTGTTTGTACTTGAGTATATGAACACCTCTGAACTGGAACTTGTGGCAAAAATTTGAGTATTTTTGTGAATTTTTGTTGATTGTTGATTTTGCTTTTTAACAAATTCATTAGATTATTTACTACTATGTTTTTTCGTGTATCTTAATTTGATACTTTCAAAGCAGATATACCCGAGGGGAAGGCAAATTTTCCATTACTTCCCAAGGAAATGCCTCCAGCATATTCTCAATTTTGCTTCTTTTGATAGTCTCGGCTTTCCCTGCAATCATCATGGAAATAATTTCCCATGTCCAGTGCGTCCCTACAAAAAGATTATACATTCATTAAAATCACACATTAATTGTTAAAAGCGTAAATATAAGTAGATAACTTTATTTCATTTTAGGCAAGTTATGGTAGGATCTTAATATACATATATAGTTACGAACAGCCCAAATGGTTTTATTGAAAACGTTCTATAAAAATACATGTAGATAGTTAAAATTGTTAAATGTTGCTCATTAAAGATAACTTTGCTGAGTCTGCATGTTGTTAACATAGCAACGAAGTAATGTTAAAACTTGCAGTTTGTTTCTTACTCAAAATTTAAAGGGAAATTGTAATGTTACTCCTTCATTCGTGACGCGAGAAAGAGACTGCGTGTTATGTAAGTGTCAGGCGTTTTACTTGTTGTTATTTGATTTTATATTGTAAACTTGTTGTACTTGTGTTGTTTGTGACTACGGTGTCCTTATCGTGCCATTTAGAATGTCGTCCGTCGCGTCTAAGGGTAGACACACGACAATGCGAAGTGACATCGCGACAATGCGAAGCGACGCTCGACAACGCGAAGCAATATGCGACAATGCGAAGCGACGCTCGACAGTGTCAAACGATATGTCGCACTGTCGCCTAGAAATGTCGCGGTAAAAAAGGGCGACATTTAAGAAATGTCGCTTCGCGTTGTCGAGTGTCGCTTCGCATTGTCGAGCGTCGCTTCGCGTTGTCGCGATGTCACTTCGCGTTGTCGCGATGTCACTTCGCGTTGTCGCATTGTCACTTCGCATTGTCGAGTGTCGAGGTTGGTAGAAGTGCATACCACGACACTCGACAATGCGAAACGACAACGCGACAATGCGATACGACGCTCGACAATGCGAAGTGACACTCGACATCGCGAAGCGACATTTTTAAAATGTCGAGTAAATGTCGCGTTATTTTTATGATTTTTACACCGCGACGCTCAACATTGCGAAGCGACACTCGACAATGCGAAGCGACACTCGACAACGCGAAGCGATACTCGACAACGCGAAGCGACACTCGACAATGCGAAGCGACATTTGGAATAATATCGTATCGCATTGTCGTGCGTCTACCGGTGCTTGGTCAGAATTTACTAACTCACCGACAAACGGTGCGATCATGGAAGACGAGGGGTCGCACTAAACTGCTGACGAATTAGCTGACGATATAGATATATAGGAAACTGCTGACCAGTTAAATAAAGAAGGATTATCGGAAAATGCTGACCAGTTACACAAAGAAGGGAAACATTGAAGGTGTGAAGTTATATAAACACGCCGTAGGGGGTAATAAAAAGATGGGAAATTACTTTTATTCTTTTAATTATATTTTTAATTTTTGCATTTATATGACTATGTTTATAAACTAAATTAAATATATACATTTAAAGTACCATAATATCATACATTTTAACACGGATTTACATTACTACATGTAATATAAATCCGTGATTTTAAAAGGATATATTAAACAGCTTTTTATACCTCTAAAGATATGCAAAAATTTGAATTAATGTTTTATAAAGAATTATGATGTTATGAGTTTTATCAAAATCTCTTGTTAGTGATATTTCAATAGAAAAATCTTGTAACGGAAAAAAATGTATTTTCAAAAGCAATAATTGCAATTTGAATTAATATTAAATAAGTCAGCAGTGTTTTAACTTAATTAAATGTCGACAAAATTTTATACAATATATTGAATTTCGTACATTATAAAATGAATTAAAATTTCACGACAAAATATATTTTTTTCTATATTTCTAACTGGTCAGCAGTTTCCCTATATATCTAACTGGTCAGCACATTCTACTACATGTGTATATGTTTAACTGGTCAGCATTTTCTCGCCTGAATGTAAAGAGCGTTAAATTTGCTAACCATATAGAATAAGAAGAGTTTTACGGCTTAAATCAATTTGAAATAACATTAAATTGGTCAGCAGTGTTTTTACTTAATTAAATGTCGACATTGTAGCAACGCTATATGTCGCAACGCCGCTATATGTCGCAACTAACGCTAAATGTCGCAACGCTGACGCTATATGTCGCAATCAACGCTATATGTCGCAATCGCCTACCGCTAAATGTCGCAACGTTGCCGCTATATGTCGCACAAAAATCGATTGCCGCTAAATGTCGCAACCCCTTGACGCTAAATGTCGCACTTGGTAGGAAAGTAACAGATGGAACTGAAACAAAAAGTAAGTGTTAAAACATTTAAAGTTTATACCATTTACATATGAAAACATATCCTAGTAACCAAACAAAAGTTGTATTTCGCGGTCTATGGCAAAAACCTTATATGGCCATAGAAACTGTTTTTGATAAAAGGGATGGATTTGGTTCTCAACCACTGACCAGGTGTGAGATCAAACTTTCTCTTTGAGGTTGTCTTTTTCACAAAATGCATCAACAAAAACATTTGGATATACATGTATATTTGTTAATATATTATTTGACATAACTGAGCAAACCGCTTGTTAATGCTAAGGGGGAACTATATCTTAATATATATTTTATATTATACCTGTTCATAATCTGACTAGATAGGCTTTACTACATGTAAGTATTAAATAATACCCAATTGATCTGTTGATCGATATTCGTAACTATGCGGTGTATTGATTTAGGTTTATGACAGAATTGTTATACTTTCATAACTTTTTATATTTATCTCAATATTTCTTTGGGAACATTAATGAATCAATATACTATGGAATTGCCAAATGTTGACTGCCTACTGCTTACTGTCAACTGCTTACGGCTTACTACTTATTATTCACTGCTTATAGCATTAAAATAAAAATGGACGACCTATTACAACTGTATTGGTAAAAAAATTATTCAGTTGCCGAAATAGTTGCCGTTCTGGAGGTCATGCACAATATAGTGCAGTGGTATATAGGCCACTTCCAACAGCCTTGCTGTTGGGTAAACCCTTTAGCGATGTGGTTGAGGTGTCCGCCTACGGACCAAGAGATGTGTTGTTCAAAACCCGGTTGGACCCTTGGTATTTTTCTGCCTCCTAATTTACTTAAATGGTGTCAGAAGTGTTTGACGGACTGATGCGGTAAGCAGGGAGTGACATTCAGGAGAGCTGGCTAGCTCTGAAAAGTAAAAAGGGGAGGAGTGTAGTGGTTATAGGTATATAGGCCACTTCCATCAGCCTTGCTGTTAGATTAACCCTTTAACGACGTGGTTGAGGTGTCCGTCTACGGACCAAGAGGTCTGTGGTTCAAACCCGGTTGGACCCTTTGTATTTTTCTGCCTCCTAATTTACTTTAATAGTTTATAGGTACATATATATTCTTAGAACAACATTTAAAGGAATTCACTGATAAATTAATAAATGCATGGACTATAACATGGAATTCCATAAACGACAGCCAACTGTTGACTGCTTAATTACTGTCTACTTCTTAATAACTACTGCCTACTGTTAACTGCCTACTGCTTACAGTCAACTGCTTACTGACAATTGCATACTGTCAACTGCTAACTCCCCCACTAGAAAACAACAACAACAACAACAACAACAACAACAATTAGATAAATAAATAAATACAAAAATGAATAAAAATAAATAAATAGAGGTATTCTTTTATCCGTTTACATAAAGAGGTTATAGGCTGACCCATGAAAAAAATAGAGAAACTAAAAATCAAGCCAAAAAGAAATTGTTTTACCATATACTTATAAGTGAAATATTGAGAAATACTGATGAAATAAAATGCGTATTTTCAATTTTAGTATTTTCACTGTAAAAAGCTATTTTCACTGTAGTGAAATATATTTTCCGTATTTTCACTGCTGTCTTGCCGGACTACTTTCTTCTAAATTCAGACAATACACATAATTTAAGGAGAATTCTTTCAAATTGTAATGTCAAAAAAAAAGAAGAGAAATCTATATGATAAACAGACAATTCAAGTTTTTTTTTCTATAAATACAGGATTTATTATCATCTTGTGGTATGGAAATTATCATATTTCATTCATGGCTACCGCCACTCATAAAATAATTATTGTCTTGCCACTAGATGAAAATAAATCCTGTATTTATAGAAAACACTTGAATATCCTCCATGAATTATGTCATAATATGTTCAAAAGCAACCAGACATAAAATCGTATGTATTAGATATCTAGATGTATATTAATAATGATAATTCAATAAGTATGAACCGAATGTTCATTTTTTCTTGTGTGCGACAAATTAAGAATAATTCAAATATCGATTGAATTATACATCCAATTTGTCGTTAGATAAATCATCAAAGGGTGATAATAAGACAACAACTTAATACATGTAAATGTGAACATAATATTACCATTCACAAACGCATTCGTTTTCTGATGAAAACGTGACTTAAAAAACCCTGTTTCGATGAAAGCGAGGCTACGCAAAATTAGAGCTGAAAACGAGGCGACAGTAAGAAAACGTCACAAACGTAACCATGTCAGTTTTAAAACGATGCTACAATATCAAAACGTCAAAAACGTGAGCATGTTTCAATTACAATAAAAACGAGGCTACAATAAGAAAACGTCACAAACGTATATATGTAACATTGAAAATGAAACTACGGGAAGAAGATGTTACAAACGTAACTATGTTACGATAATAACAAGAACACAACAAGAAAACTTCACAAACGGCATGTTACAATGCAAACGAGACTACAATGACAAAACGTAACAAATGTACTAGAATCTATTAGACTTTAACAAAACGCGTAACAAACATATCTTTGTAACGATGAAAACGAAACTTATAAGAAAAATGTAATCTATTCCATTCGATCGCTTTAGTATAGTTGGCTCAGAAAGTAGTCCCAAAACCGCTTTTTGGCATTCTCGTATGTTAACATTTTGGAAATGAATAATTTTGCGATTTATGTCGCCAGAATAAGGCCACTGCCTCCAAACTGACAGAGGTCCAAACAGGAATGTTTCTACCACATATTAAAATTATATTAAAATCACTTTCAAGTTTTTTGTTTGCATCTGCGTGATGACATCATCTGCATACTTGGACATGACAAAAGTTCCAATAAAAATGATGATAAAATTTATCATATCTTTACAACGTGCTTCTATTTGTGCATTTTATCTATGGTCTTATATTTAAAGTCAAAGTGTTAAAAAATTGTTACGTTTTGACAAGATTCTTGTCATTCAGCATATTGCAGATGTGATATATGTGAGGAACGAGCAACTCTGCTTCGAAATAATTTAGAAACATCAAAAATGAAACCATGGTGAAGTTAAAATGAGACTACGATACATTAAGTTAACAAATGTATCAGTGTTACGAGGAATGAAAAATGACTCTTATTTCACTTTAAACTGTTTTATTTTGGGTATGTGATAAATAGAATATTAAATTCGTGTAAGTTCATTACTGAATTTATTGCACTCGTTGGATAAAATAATATTATGCTCGCCAGAGGCTCGCTTAATATAATTTTATTCAACTCGTGCAATATATTCAGTATTGAACTTACACTCATTCAATATCCTCTATGTCATAAACGTGTTCGTGTTCATGTAAATCAGGAAATAGAGTAACCATTCACAAACGTGTCCTTGTTTCGATCAAAACGAGAATATACATGTAATTAGAAAATGTCACAAACGTAACCATGTTGCAATACAAACGAGGCCACGTAAAGGAAACGTGACAAACGTAACTATGAAAACGAGGCTACAGTAAAGAAACGTCACAAACGAATCCATGTTATAGTGAAAACGTGCTTTACAGGGAGAAAACGTCATAAACGTTACCATGTTACGATGAGAACGAGGCTACAGAAGGTAAACGTCACAAACGTAACCATAACGAGGCTACAGTAAAGAAACGTCACAAACGTAACCATGTAACAATGAAAACGAGGCTACAGTAAAGAAACGTCACAAACGTAACCATGTAACAATGAAAACGAGGCTACAGTAAAGAAACGTCACAAACGTAACCATGTAACAATGAAAACGAGGCTACAATAAAGAAACGTCACAAACGTAACCATGTAACAATGAAAACGAGGCTACAGTAAAGAAATGTCATAAAACGTAACCATGTAACAATGGAAACGAGGCTACAGTAAGGAAACGTCACAAACATATCCGCGTTACAGTGTAAACAAGGCAACAGTAAGGGAACGTTACAAACATAAAATGTTAAGATATAGTTCCCCCTTTGCATTAACAAGCGGTTTGCTCAGTTATGTCAAATAATATAACAAATATATAGAGGATATCCAAATGTTTTTGTTGATGCATTTTGTGAGAAAGACATCCTCAAAGAGAAAGTTTGATCTCACACCTGGTCCGTGGTTGAGAACCAAATCCATCCCTTTAACCAAAAACTGTTTCTATGGCCATACAAGGTTTTTGCCATAGACCGCGAAATACAACTTTTGTTTGGTTACTAGGATATGTTTTCATATGTAAATGGTATAAACTTTAAATGTTTTAACACTTACTTTTGTATCAGTTCCATCTGTTACTTTCCTATCAAGTGCGACATTTAGCGTCAAGGGGTTGCGACATTTAGCGGCAATCGATTTTTGTGCGACATATAGCGGCAACGTTGCGACATTTAGCGGTAGGCGATTGCGACATATAGCGTTGATTGCGACATATAGCGTCAGCGTTGCGACATTTAGCGTTAGTTGCGACATATAGCGGTGTTGCGACATATAGCGTTGCTACAGACATAATTTTATAAAATAAATTGAATTTGCATACATAATAAAAATGAATTACAATTTCACGGCAAAATATATTTTTCTCTATATATCTAACTGGTCAGCAGTTTCCCTATATATCTAACTGGTCAGCAGATTCTACTATATGTTTAACTGGTCAGCATTTTCTCGCCTGAATGTAAAGAGCGTTAAATTTGCTGACCATATATAATAAGAGAGTTTTACGGCTTAAATCAATTTGAATTAACATTAAATTGGTCAGCAGTGTTTTTACTTAATGAAATGTCGACATTATTTTATAAAATATATTAAATTTGCATAATGAGTAACAATTTCGTAGCATTTAAATATATTTTTCTCTATATATCTAACTGGTCAGCAGATTCTACAATATGGTCAGCATTTTAATAACATATTTTTGACTGTTTATTGTATTTTGTCATAGATAAATCAAGAATGACACGTCGCGTGTGAAATCGATTTTAATATGACCTTGGGGCATATCGATCTCGATAAATTATCAGTTTAATGGATATCTGTGGAAACATGTTGTTTATAATGTAATAAAAGCTTATTAACTATAACAATTAGCACATTATTAATTTTTGTTCAATATTACTTATACAATTATACGAACAACAAATAAGGAAACAGAAATCACTTTATTTCATATTTGCACTAAATACGACATAATAATTATATTTTGTTAAAATATACATTACGTATATGTACATGTATATATTTTAACCTATGATGCATAGTTTTATACGTACTTGAAACAAATTATGATTTTTCGTACATCATATTTTGACTACATTTTTAAAATTTTAACCAATATATAACACATAGAAGAAAATTCATTAAGGTACTTAAATAAAATATTATATCAAAATAAATTGAGAAATATACAATATATATCAATTGAATTTTTTATAATTAATATGTATCATTTGTAATATTGACATCTTGAAAAAACATTTTATCAAGTATTTCTCGACCTCGCCTGTAATATCACCAACGGCAATTTGACACCTTCAATGTTTCCCTTCTTTGTGTAACTGGTCAGCAGTTTTCGATAATCCTTCTTTGTTTAACTGGTCAGCAGTTTCCTATATATTCTATATCGTCAGCTAATTCGTCAGCAGTTTAGTGCGACCCCTTCCATGATCGCACCGTTTGTCGGTGAGTTAGTAAATTCTGACCAAGCACCGGTAGACGCACGACAATGCGATACGATATTATTCCAAATGTCGCTTCGCATTGTCGAGTGTCGCTTCGCGTTGTCGAGTATCGCTTCGCGTTGTCGAGTGTCGCTTCGCATTGTCGAGTGTCGCTTCGCAATGTTGAGCGTCGCGGTGTAAAAATTATAAAAATAACGCGACATTTACTCGACATTTTAAAAATGTCGCTTCGCGATGTCGAGTGTCACTTCGCATTGTCGAGCGTCGTATCGCATTGTCGCGTTGTCGTTTCGCATTGTCGAGTGTCGTGGTATGCACTTCTACCAACCTCGACACTCGACAATGCGAAGTGACAATGCGACAACGCGAAGTGACATCGCGACAACGCGAAGTGACATCGCGACAACGCGAAGCGACGCTCGACAATGCGAAGCGACACTCGACAACGCGAAGCGACATCTCTTAAATGTCGCCCTTTTTTACCGCGACATTTCTAGGCGACAGTGCGACATATCGTTTGACACTGTCGAGCGTCGCTTCGCATTGTCGCATATCGCTTCGCGTTGTCGAGCGTCGCTTCGCATTGTCGCGATGTCACTTCGCATTGTCGTGTGTCTACCCTTAGACGCGACGGACGACATTCTAAATGGCACGATAAGGACACCGTATTGTGACAATTTTCATGGGAAATCTTTCACAGTTGTATAATGGTAGCGAAGCGATTATATATTAAGACATTTATATTATTTTCTCTTTTTGATATAGGTTCTTTAGTAAAAACTGTAGACTGACAATAGAAAACAAGTCCGAACTCCATCCAAACAGCTGACTAAATGACTATGACCCAAGGAAGAGTATTTGTTAAACACAAATGTTTGCATCATTTCAATGACAAAGTTTCAAAGCGAATCTATGTATCAGTTATTAATAAGAATAACTAAGTCTTGGAATGTCAAAGAATATAAAACAAAGTTCTACAATGAAATATTGTCTGTAAAAGCTTTACATATCACAAATGTAATTTAAGCATTTAGACAACTTAACAAATTACATAATTGTTTAACTTTAGCTAAATCTTGGATGTTTACTCAGTTTTCTGGAAATTATTCAAAAGCACACTCGTAATTGAAGATTCATAAATCAACTTGTCAGCATTTCGAATGTGTAGTCGTTGTTTCTGAGCCGATGCACATGGACAGGAAATTGGAGCTTGAAGTGAACATATACATTGCAGGAGCCGAATGTACAAGAGTGTCAACTCGATCAGAAAATCAAAAAAAAATTCCTCCTTGGGGCAGTGATTAACCGGAGTGTAAACTGAACGGAAACAATGAATACTTAGTATATAGGTAATAGGTAATATTTCACAAAGTCGCAAAAATATATTGTAGACATATCCGACATTGAGGAAGCACTGTTATAGAAAATGTTAAATAACGGTAAAACATATCATCTTTGAAACTATATAAACGGATGTTATCGAGGAATCGGGCTTGCGCGGTCACTCATTGATTTTTGTATTTATATTTTATAAGAAAAACATCCTTAACTAAAACAAGAATGGTTGACATTATGAGAAAATTTACCTGACTTTGCAGGAGCGCATATAAAAACATCATCTGGTCTACATTTGAAGTTTGCCATTTCTCTTATTCTCTTTGAAGTTTCTATTGATGCACCAAATGTACAAGTTGTATAACCGTCGGTATCCAGGTAGGTTATACTGTGACCATCGCCATCATCTTGTTTATATTCCGTCATTATTTCCTTGCTTCTAAAATTATTTGTAAAACGTTGTATTTCATGTATCCAATATTTTTTTTGCTCTTCTTTTTAATTTAAAATTCGAAGCTAATTTCATTTAGATCTATCACGTCTTGTAAACGCTTGAACTTTTTTTTATTAACCTGTAATTTCACATTAAGAACAATATTTTCAAGACTTAAAGCTCGGCTTTTTTTAGAAATGTTAATATGCACATCAACTATTTGCAGTGATTGGCGAAAACAAAATCGATTTTACGACATGTTTTATTTGATTGCTCAATATGTTAAGTGAAATAAAAAAGAATAAATTGTACCTGACACTTATATTCCTATCAAATGAATATAACAAACTTAACCTAGTTATCGGTATAGATAATACTTTAGACGTATAATGGAGTTAGCCATATCATCACTGTAGTAGTTTCAATATCAACGTTTGTTTGCATAAATTGCGATATCAAAGGTGACAATAATTAGGTCGGTTTCTGTGCCTTGATTTAACTATATAATTTTGTGGGTCATTAATACGTGTTATGTTCTACACACAAGGGTGATATGAAGCATTAATAGTTTTAATAGTATTTGTACTCATATTGTTTCATTGTAAAATGAGATGAAAAAAATGACAGCTATTGTTGTTGTTGTTTTTTTGGCTGATCTTTCACATGTGTTTAAATCAATACTTGGGGGCGGTGGACATGATTTTCTAGAGAAATAAATTAGAATTAACGTGATTACATGTAAGTGTTTCAGTAAAATTTAACATGATTGACTCACTCCTTTTTACCTTTGATGTCAATAAGATAATGTAACGGGTTGCAATTTATAAAATGAATTTAACGCCTAATTAAGACCAAAATCTGCTTTCATTTAAGTCTATCGAATACAGTACGGTAAGGTAATTAGTATCTTAGATGCTCTTTATCCATTGTTTAAACGCATATAGATTTGCCTTGTGGCTTAAAAACCTTTCATACTATTATCTTATGATGGTACAGACTATCAGCAGAGGAATATTTGTTAAGAAATCAAACATAAATTAATGTTTTGCTTCATAACACCATTGAGACATTTAAAAGATATTTCTTTTTCGGACCGAAATCCGAGTTAAAACAAGTATGTTTTATTTTTGTCATTTCATATTACATCTATCAGCGTTCTTACTTTCTTCCCAACAGTATATTACTTTAAGGCATTAATTGCAGATATATGTATATTTCTTTCTAAACGTTAATCAGAATGACTTTTTGGAACGATTTAATAATTTTACGACAGGATTACAAATTTAGCTTTTGATTTAATTGATCACATTGAAAAAAGGTTGTCTCGTCTTAGAATATTTGAAGCGTTGAGCTTTTCGAAACACTGTCGAATCAACCAACCAGTACTACATAATAAGTGTAAGGCTTCTTGCTCACAAAAAACGAGGGCTTGTCCTTGACAACGTGTGTGAAATGTCACTTAAATACAAGTGAATTTATATCAAAAGGTTATCAAATTTTTACAATATTGATAGTGCTGCAAATCGGCCAATCTTTATACTATTAAGTGAGAAAACTGGTCACGCCAGCCCGTTACCTAAATGGCCGTCTGGATCTGTAGTTTCTGCAATGGTATTCATTTGGCCAAAGCTCGACAAGAAACTGGGATTTCGAAGATTGCATCAAATAACTGTTAAAACATTAGATAATTTACTATATTCATGTTGATTTATTTCTCTTGTCAGTTTTGTATATTAATTTAATTAACATTAAATGAAGCAATATAACTGACAATTTTTTGTATTTTATTTTAAATTATTTTGTTTAATTTTAACTAAATTAGTAAAACAATGATGCGTCCACGCTTATTATGGCTTGCTTATAATAATTTTGTTTTGAACATTGAATATTCATTATTCCGTTTAATACAGTTTTGAAAATATATCTATACTTTAGTGCAGTATGTTTATCTTTACGGTAATCCAACACGTTTACAAGTGGTTGGTCAAAACCACCTCACCTATAGGAGTTATGAGATGCATAGATTTCAATTATTCGAACCAATTTACTCGCCAATTACGACCACGCAGGCATAAAACGGTGGCTTCAATTGTCATGCCTCAACCATTAATAGGAAAAAAAAACGTCAGTCACAAGGAAGACTAATATGCTGAGAAATTAGAACTGTTTACATGTCGGCCTCGGGATATCACTTGGATAAGGAATGTTGTACAACTTTGTTTCCCCTTTGCGAAAAACATTCACTTAAGAACTATATACATATATAGGATTATTCAAACACATTAACCTAGCATGTATTTTTACATTATATCTCTTAATAATCTTAGATAATTAAAGGGGCAAAATTTATCTGCACAGGCACAGAGGAATTTCACGTGAAGTTTAATACATGTTTTAGAAGTCATAATTATGGTGGCTGATTTGTGCAATTCGTGTTTTCGCCCCGCGACTCCGGCAAATGAAAAGTCGTGAATTAACAAGTTAAAATGCAGGAGCAGAGCAAAAACACGCTCATTAGCGGTGGCGAAGGTCGAATATAATAAATAAAACTTCGCCCGCGGGATCGAAGAGCGAGATTTTAGAAATTAAATGGCGTTATTTTTAAGACTTAGCCCTGCGTCTCCGCTATATTGCATGTTTATGCTCCGTGCCCCCGTCATTTTAACTTGTTAATTATCGACTTATCGTTTTGGGGGGTCGCGGGGGGGGACTCGAATGGCACAAATTAGCCACCATACATACTTGTCATTGTGATCACAGGGACCCAGCACAGTTCTGATTTGTTTTTTTTGCAAATTTATGTCCCTTTTTCGACTTAGAAGTTCTTGGTTAAGTTTTTGCGTGTAAGCTGGTATCTCCATACCTACTGAAGGGAGTGGATTGAAACTTCATATGCTTTTTCTCTGTGATTATCTATCATTAGTTGTACAAGTACCGTACTCTGATTTGCGATTGCATATTTATGCCCCTTTTTCGACTTAGAAATTCTTGGTTTAGTTTTTGCGTGTAACATGGTATCTCCATAACTACGGAAAGGGATGGATTGAAACTTCACACACTTGTTCTCTCTGATTTTGTTACATGAGTGTGGAAAGTCCTATGACTGATTTGCTTTTATGCGTACTTTTGCCCCCTTTTTCGACTTAGAAATTCTTGGTAAAGATTTTGCGTGTAAGATGGTACATTGTATCTCCATAACTACGGAATGGTTGCTTTGGATTTAGAAAAAATATTAGATAGTAGTACTTGCACATATTTCTTTCTTAGCTTGGTTACATAGTAACCTGAAACATAGCGAATTCTTGACCGGGAAGCATCTGTTACAAACCTTCTATTAACATTCATACCTCTTGTTTGTAGTAATTCAATATTTGAAAAATTGACAATATCAACTGAATTTGAATTTATGGTTTAGATTACCAGAACATCAATGCATGTAACTATGCATGTTTTTTAACTATCTGATTAAGATTTTAAGGGTTTTCACATGACGATTGTTAATATATAAGTGCATGACAATTTTATAGAAATTATCTACAAACTGGTTTCAATCCAGTTTTATAGCTTAGCACACTACAATGTACAACTACAATTCAGATAGGAAAACAAATATTAATTTCTAATGCATTTCCTATAGTCACTTTACAGGGTATGCCATTTTTGAGAAGAACAATTTTTCTCCACTTTAAACATGGTTATACAGTTAAACCTGTGTAAGACAGTCAGTAAATCAACTTAATCCGCGAGACTTTCTTAAGAATGCCTTCATTCAGTAAAAAAAGTTTAAACTTCTGGAAACAAAATGATCCCTCGGAAGCATTAATCATTATTAAAGGCACATAATGCATTGGAAATGAAAGAGTTTTTTACTTATATAGAAAGAGCATTCAGGTGTTTAATAAGATTGACATAATGATTTTCGAGCAGCATTATCACCTGAACAAAGTAGCACATACTGTCATAAAATTATTTACATTTAAATAAATTATTATTTTGATTTCTATGCAAATTGGCCAAAGAATGACGTTTTATAAACCAAAATAGGGCGCAACAAATGAAAAGCTTTTTTGAGAATTAAAGAAAGCATTTCTGGAGCATGATGGGCCTTTAAAAATGCTACTTTACATAACAATTTGAAATGAAAAACTTAATGTTACTAATTCCATATAATTTTGTTTAATTAAAATGAACACTATCACAGGTTTAACTGTATTCTATTATGGCGTGTAAAAAATCAACATTTAATATTTACTCCATTTTTTGGATAGGATTCTGTCAAGACTGACTGATGGAGAAGTAGACATAAATATACTCTTGGAGACTTTGAAGTTTTAATGTCTAGAATATGGAAAAGCTCTTCAATATCTGGCTCAATGATATTTGTTGAACATTTGAAAGCTTCGATTCCAGGTGTTAAACATGTAAGAAAAAAAGTTGGCACACAACTCAAGACATATTACAGAGGTCTTTGCATTGACCCTATTGATACATGTTCCTTATCTGATCTGACATGCACAATTATTACTAAATGACTTCCAGACAATTATTATATAAAGAAGATAAGCCCTGAAGATCAGATGAAAATATGATAGAATTACTTGTTGAACAAGCCAAAAATGTTGGCAGAAACCCAAAGAGTGCAGATGGTCTAAGAAATTTATTGGTGTATGCCTGCAAATGTATAACAGAAGTCCTAATTGCTATGGCCTCTTAAATTCAAGCAAGTTATTAGTACTACTACCATCGCAATCACTGCTCATATTGTATAAAAATGCTATAAAGCAAAACCCAGGATTTGAAGATGATGTTTTCCATTGGATGTATGCTGAGGCAAACAAGCAAAATATACCAGAGGGTGAGAGATATGGGGGTGTCATATTTGATGAAATGACCACTCAAACGGATATTCAGATTGATAAATATGGAATCGTTGTTAAAATATCTGGTTTTACTGATTATGGGAAGGAGGGAGACACTTGCCATGCTTTAAAACAATGGTCTAAAAAGGAAATTAGGCAAATATGCACTCCAATAACTTTTCCCTGGAACTAATGGTTTTCGTTTTCCATTAGCATATTTTATAACCAACTGTGTACAGGCATTTTCTGGAAAGCAGTCTACTTATTAAGATCAGCAGGATTTACAGTTCTTTATACCTGTATGGATGGGGCTTAAGCTAACCGGTCATTCATGCTCATGTGCTTGGGAGATAAGTCATATAGTTATATAGTGTAACGTGCACCAAGCTTATACCTGTATGATACTAAATTTTCCTCTGGCTTCTTTGCCTAATGATTATTTGATTGAAGACCAATGTTTTTT